CAGCCAAAATCAAGTCTAATCTTCACCAAACACCCTCAAAATTGAGATATAAACTCCAAAGAAGATTTTTAATTGTTTGCAACACCACCCGATCCAAACAAACAATAGATTTTGAAAACCCAAATTCGAATTCAAAATTTGAAGCTTTTTATTGCCTATCAATGGTAGAGAATCAAACACCTTCAAAATTTATTGATTAACAATTTCAATTAAAACATCAATTGTGCAACATGAAAGGAAATTGTTAAGTTAAAACTCTATATTGAAAAATCATTGATGAAGTCCCTGGAAAAAAAAAGAGAGGATAAAAAGCAAAGAAAAACAAAGGAAGAAAATTGGAGAAAAAACAGAGAGGGAGAGAGAAAGAGAAAGAGAGACGAAGAGAGAGAGAGCAGGAATGGGAAATAAATATTTCCCTATTCAATTCCTAATATAAAAGGATACTCATTAATACTAATTGAATATAATTGGTAAATTTTATATGCCTGTGTAATTAAGTTAAAACTTGATTATGAAGTATAATAAAATTTCATATGTAGTATAGGAAGGTAAAAATCCCTTTGTTTAATTATTTTGATAACTCAATCGCTTTTAATAAGTAGTTAAATATTTTCCAAAAGCGCTAGGCAAATTTTAGGCTCGAATATAAGTATATATTTTTTTCTCAAAATGCTTCGCTTGTGATATAAGCCTTTATTTAATTAAATTCGAGTAGGCTCTAATTTTAGGTTAGTGTAGGTTAAGGGTCGGAGATGCTCATCCTAGTTGAGATTAATAAAAGTTTAACAAATAAAAGCAGATATAGCCAAACATGAAAAATCAAATAAGAAAATTGCATCCTTTGAAACTGTTTGATGGTTACATTCTTTCTGTAAAGGTGTGATAGATAGGCGTTATAAAGCTCTTTGCTTATGCTCGCAAAAAAGTGAAAATTGATATCCGAAAAAGGAAATCGATAACCCTTCCATATTATTATTTCTTCGTCAAGTGAGCATTTTCTAACATTAACCATTTGATGTAAATATCCTGTTATTAAGTTCATCCAAATACCTAAATAACCGGATATTTACATAAATAGCCGGCCGAATTCACTTTTTTTAAAAAAAATTAATTTACATAAATTATATATGATTATACATTTATTATACTTCAGCAGTTGGGTAGGCAACTATTTTGAATAATTTGCTTGCAAAGCGGCAATACGCCTCTCTGTCTAGTAATTTATTTGTGGTAAGGTCAAATAATAAGGGGTATTATCACTTTTAACCAGCGCCAGAAACTATTTATATTTGATAACCAAAAAAATATATAAATTTTATATAATTTTTATATATAACATACATAATGTATATATATATATATACAAAAAAAATATAAATGTTATACATTTTTCAGCTAATATTTTTACAGCGGCTATACAGTTTCATTTTTCCAATAATAAATAATAGCCTATGAATGCATTATGTAGTCTATCAGTTTGTCAACTACATGAAAAGGCGTGGAAAAAGGTATAAACGAAATAAATATCACGCACAATACAAAATCAAACTGATATCTCCCAGACTTTTAGTGCATACTTTTGTTTTCTTAATCCCTAAAGGCAGAGAGAAAATAAATCAGGAAGAAGTGTTCAAACTCTACTGTCTATTCTGTATCTCTGATGCTTCCACTTGTGAGCCACAACTTCTTTTGCACGACTAAAACAATGTTATCGCTCTCCTGCTCGGGATCTGAGGTGGAATCGGCTGATCCAACTGCTTCCCAGTGCAATGCCGATAAATGCTTCTTTACAAAGTCGATAACATGTTGTTTATCACGGATGATAACGAAACCTGTAGGCCTTAGTATGCGATCAATCTCGAGTAACAAGTCCTCGCCACTGCAACCTTTCTTCTCAAGGTCAGAGAAGACGGTCCATGCATGAAGCAAATCATAGGTCCTGGGATATGTTGAGAATGCTTCACACCTGCACAAAAGAAGCGTAGGAAACTAATATTACAGATAAACACCTTGACTATGATCATGTTCCACTCAGAGACGGATTTAGAATTTAAGTTCTAAGGGTTCAACATTTAAGATACTCACTTCAAAATTATGAGTTCATATTTACTATTTGTTGCAATTTTAGTGAACTTCTACAAATAAATTTATGCATCGCGCCAAAATTACTAGGTTCAGATGAACCAGGTACCGAAAGGCTGTGCATCGCTTCTGGTATTTCCACTGGGGAAAAGATAAGACCAATACTGATGTCAGAGCTCCTCAACCACGAAAAGACTACATCAACTACACAGCTACCTTAGTTTTTCTTTTTGAGAAGACACAGCTACCTTAGTTTTATTAAAATAAAGTTGGATAATGGCAAGAAAAAATTATTACGCAATTTCGACAATGTCCTAAAGTATGCAGGCATACTGCTTACTAAACAAAAGACTAAGGCGACAGATTTATGCCACAAAATGGACTAGCAGACTACACAATTATACAAAGTAAAAAAGATTATCCACTTACCAGTCATGAGTTGTGCCAATCAAGCCTCGGTCATATACAATCTTGAGAGTGTTGGGTCCATCTTTGGGTACGACGTTCATGACCCATACATTTTTGTCCTTCAGAGCAGCGGCAAATGACCCCAAGTTAGCCTTCATGTCCATGATATTTCTCAAGGTGTCTGATGAAATCTTTGGACTTAACAGACTCCAATATTGGTCTACTCTCTGCCTCCAAGTTTCCTATTGATAAGCCAAGAATGCAACGAGTTGTTAAGTTTTCAATTCTCTTACTCAATTGCAATGGAGCACTTAAGCTCGTGTGCGGAATCAAATGGTACAAGTTGACCAAGATTACTAAAAACTTACCATGTCCTTGTCAAACATTTCATTTGAATACCCAAAATCAGCAAGACGGGGAGGAGGACTAGTTAATCGAGCTGGCCAAGGAGCCAGTCCGCTTCCACCGACTTTGTGGTCATCTGCAAGAGAACATGACAATAAGGAAATAAGTTCTTGAGGAAAATTAACAGTACATTAACTTTAAAGTTTCTTACAAACCTTCAATAAACAAAAATGTATTTTTTAAATAATTAATGCAACTAAAACTTACCGCTTCATGCATATATTAAAAAGCCTAAGGCAACAGTAATCACATGTGTGCATTCAAGAAAATACTCCAAACATATTCAGAATACATGAAGAAAGAAACATGCAGTTACGAGGTTGAGTAAAGAAAATTAGTGACATATAAGGAGACAACAACTCATTCCTGCAACCAATGCAGGACACATTAACCCATCGTACGAGCCCAGACATTTGGAGCATGCACATCGTAACATGGCGGCCCAACATTGCACAAACCAAGAATAAGGACGAGTCGTCTTCTGATATCATGTTAAGAAAATAAACCTTGGGTCTAACTCAATCCTAAAAGCTATCTCATTAGGTGAGAATTATCCAAAACCATATAAGGAGACAACATCTAATTCCATTAACCAATTTGGGACAAAACAAAATTAAAATAA